ATTTGCCTCTCCAGTTCTCAGGGCTGCAAATAATGTGCTCTGTAGCCCGACACGACTTTACCACTTCTTCTGGGCCTGCTGCTTGCTCTGGGAGGTGAAGGTAGGGGAACTGTGGGAAGATAAGGGGCGGGAGCCAGACTCTATGGCTTTGTTTTTGTGACTGGAAATGGCAGCCGCCAGACAACTGCGGCCTTACCTCTGTCTCTGCCCAGGTCACTGGGTTCATCCACAGTGCCTACTGTCCACCTCTGCCGGACTGCTCACAGTATTTCTCTGCTCATCTGAGCTGAAGAGAGTGCCAGTGGCCACCTGACTCCTCCCCTCTCCTAAGACAGACAGCAAGCTCCCAACTACATTTAGGGCACCTGTCTCTGCTCTTCTTCCTTCCCTCCTCCCATGCTCACTCCAACTCACCTACCCTCAGATGTTTTAATGTACAGATCTCTCAGATGTGTTTATGTCTAGAATAGGGAATCCTTTGTTCAATTATAGCTGTTCAAATTGTAAGTATAAGGGGATCCTCTCAAACTACCGTTTCTCTGATGTCACTCTCTGAGTTTGCTGTTATAGAAATACTATTTCTTTAACACATTAAAAGTCTTGAAAATTCAGTTTACTTATTTTCTGGAAATTTTAGGAATATCCTGTTTATTTAAACACTTATTTCTATAAATTAATAAGAATTGAGCTCCATTAATTTAAGAAAATATTAGGAAATTATTACACACAATAGCCTCTCTGAATTCCAGTTATCATCATCATCATCATCATTATTATTAAGGCTATTGCCATAAGGAGAATGTTCATTAATGAGGAACATCTCAAAGAAAAGGAAAGGACCCAAGAGTTTTATAGAGGCAGGTAAACTAGGAAGTCATCCATGAGTCTTATAGAAGTCATGAAGAAGCATAAAGATGGTTCTTCCTATGGAATATGCGAGGGCAACGTGGTCCTTTGCAGTTAACTATTTCTCAGAACACTAAAGCGGAGGTGGGGGATAGGAGTCTTAACCACTGCTTATTTCTAGTTGCATGATTTTTAGATATCTAGAAGGCTCATAAAAGTTTAATACTGTAATGAGATGACTCTGCTTTATCAATTTTGTCTATAGAATTTCTCTGTATTCTTCTTTATATGCCATATTACTTCTGCTAGCCTTTTTTGTTTTGTTTTGTTTTTCTGTGCTTATGACTTATCTCCATAATTTCATTGTAGGTTCTCTGAGGGAAGGAAGTATGTCTTATATTGTTTTCTGTTTCTCCTCCTCTTCATCTCCCTCCTCTTTTTGCCTAACACTTAATATTCCATTCCACCTACCCAAAAGTTATTCATGTTCA